GGTCCCCGGCTGAAGGGTGGGGTGGGGGGGCCCGGTTCCCAGCCCCAGCCGTGGGGCTCCCCCGGTGGCAGGACCTTGGCGACCCCTTGTGCCCCCTCGTGGGGTGCTCTCCCCCACTCGCTTGTGGGGTGATGGCAGTGGGGGAGCTCCCTTATCCCCCCTTCACAGGCTGTGGGGTGGGAGCGGTGCATTCCCCCCAGAAAATCCCCGTTTTGGAGTGAAGGCAGCTGGTTCCTCCTCCTTGTGGAGGGGGAGCAGGGAGCCCCCATCCTCATCCTCACCGTGGGGTGACCTCTGGGCCGTGTCTCCCTCCCATGCGCTCTGGGGACATGTCCCATGGGAGCCGCAGGAGGACGCGGGGCCTGGCATGTGCTGTGGGTCTCCTGCCCTTGGAATTGCTGCAAGGACTGAGCACCCGTGAGGGGGAGAGCAGCTAAAACCTGCATGGAAATAGAGAGTGGATGTGTCGATCTGTCTGGTACGGTGGGAATGGAGAGCGTCGATGTGCTTTGTAAGAGGAAAATACAGTTTAACCCCCATTTCCCGCGTATGCTACAGTCCTACATCACCCTGGCTCATCACTGTAATTCCTGCAAAGTTGGTGTTTCCATCTGGGAACTTCTGGCATGGAGCTCCCATGGGCTGCAGCCTGGCAAGGGCCTCTTCGGGGGTAATACTTTACTCAAAATAAATAGAGTAGGAGTCAATGGTTGGTGTTTGCAGTGGGTGTTATGGAGTTTCATAGTGACTTGTGTGTTTGTTTGTTTTGGGAGAAAGAAAGGGGAAATAGTGAATTTGGATATCTGGTTATTTGGGATAGTTAGAACTTACTGATAAGTTGTATAGAGACCAGGTGTTACGGGACGACTAAGTGCTAATATGGTACAGGAGAAACCATGTGGATGTAACGAAGGCAGCAGAGCTCCCAACAGCTGCTTCCACGTTAACTTTTACTATCCAGGAAAGATATTGTCTCCAAGACTGTTCACTTAAAACGTGAGTTCAACACCCAGCTCTAGTCAGAAAAGTTGGAATTATTTTAATGGAGCAGAGAACAAAGCAGAAAACATCATTATACCAATGTGAGTACTGTTGGCAGCTCATGTGTATGGTCTGTGTTTTTTTTAGTTGCCCAAAATGGGAACATTGGCAAAGGCCCTAGGAGGAGCAGTGAGGATGAGCAGGTTTCTACACAGGTGAGGCCTGTGTTTAGGCTCCCTGATGGGAGATGAGGCACAAGGGTGTGAAGTCAAGAACCGATCAGAGAAAGTGAACAGGGAACATCAGCTTTCTATTTTTAAAGGACATTATCATGCAGCAGGTCTGAAATAAACGGAAGTGCTTCTTCTCGCAGTGTATAGCTAAAGTGTGGCCCTTGTTGCCCCAGGATGATCTGCACTCATAGCACTGGGGCAGGTGGGACCAGCAGGGAGCTTAAAAAAATGCAGTTCTGTGCTCCAGCTCTTGGACTTCCTTTACTGCAGCAGCTTTTGTTGCTGACCTCTCTCCATCACAGACTGTTTGTCTCTAATTTTCAGTGGAATTGAACAGCAGGGCACAGTTTGCTGTTTTGCTCATTTTCTTTTCAGACCTTCATCAAGGAGTTCTTAGAGATAAATGAAACTGATTTTGCGTCAGGTGTTGGACCAGTGGGTTATTTTTGCAATTAGTTTGTTGTCACAAGTCTTTTATTGTTGTGAGTTTACTCAAGCTGTGATAAAATTCATTGCATGAGCATCTTCTTGCTAAATCAATAGATTTGGCTCTTGTGAGCTCTACACTTTCACCAAGTTAAATCTTCCAGCTTTCCTACCTCATAGTGTGTCCGACCCTCCGGGATTGGATTGTTTTCTCTTTATTTAACATGTGGACCTGAGAACTGCCTGATTTCTGGGTTGGTGACTTGGTCTTTTGGGTATGGGGATACTCGAATCCTTGGGCTACTCCTAGGGAACAGGATAACGAGACTGATTGCTGAATAATAATCACAGCTGGTTCCAAGGATGCTCCTTGTTTATTCTGTGCCCCGGTGGGTGCTGCTGCCATCTCATTCTTCAGTCGTCATCCCTGGGCCTGGAGAGCACAAGATGCTCCCGGGTTCCCTCATCCTGCATCCTTTCTCGATGCTGCTTGGACCATGGCGCTTCAGTGGGCGCTCCTATTCCCAGGAGTGCTCCATGGAGGTTGTTTCCTTTTTGTGGCACACGCCTGGCACGAGGCAGGAGTTTTCCTGTAGCAAATGTTGATGTTGTTTTGCAGACGCTCGTGTTTCCATCTCTAAACTTAGCAAGCTCCCTTCTGTTTGTGTAAAACGTACAAAGCTGCCTCTGCCTGCAGCACTGCGATGTTTTCAAGCGCTGAGCAAGCAGCAGGCACCTGGACGTGCGGCCAAGCCCTCCCTGATATCTGAATGTCTGATTTCCAGCACGTTCGCAAAGGAGCGCTTGTTCCCGAGGCCTTTTCTCATTCCCTTGCCTGCGCAGCCCGCGGTGCCTGCAGCCACCTAGCACATCCATATCCAGCCCTGTCCTGCTGATGGGATATTGGCAGTGAGGGCAGCTGCCTGCTCAACAGGAGCGTTTGGGCTCCGGAAAGTCATCACTCGAGCCCAGCGAAGCGCAGGCAGCCCTGGTCTGAAGCAGAGGCAGTTGTGGTCGCTTAGGCTGGATGGCGGCGGCAGCGCTCGAGGCCTTTGGTCCATCCTGGTCAGTCCGTAGCAGCCCCGAGCTGTCTTTGCTGTCACGCCGGTCGCCTAAAGGAGAGGCCTGTCCGCATGCAGGTCAGCACGGAGCTCGGGCCCTTTCGGGCCTTGTGTTGCTTCGGTGCTGCAGCATTTTCACCCTTGTTCCCATGTTCCGGCAATCTTTGAGCCTGCCCTGGAAGTAAGTGACAGAGCAGGGACGCTGATGCTCTGCACGGAGGAAATATCCATAGCGAAATACGGCTGAGCTGGCACAACCCGGGCCACCGTGAAGCCTTCCCAAGAGCCAAACAAGCTGCACCAGTAGAGCAGGGTCTTCCTTGTGCAGCAACATCTGTGCTGGAGCTCCTGCCTGGGCAGCAGTGCTGGTGTGAGGTTCAGGTGCCCGGGCTCGGAGAAGCCTCCGGCCGTTGTCTTTCCCTGTTTTATTTCGACCAAATGCCCCTCTCAAGCAAAGGGTGTAAGAGACACTATTAATACATATTTGATTCAACGTCTCCATGGTAATAGCTGCCTTTGGTTCTCTTGGCCATGTCAAGTGGCATCTCTGCTGTCCTTGGGTGGATTT